CGTATTTTATTTTAAAAATTAATTTGTTTTTTTGTTCCAGAAGTATGAGAGATCCCTCAAATATTTAGATAGGAGCAGTAAAACAAAGATTATTAGAAAAAGCTTATAGAAATTAAAAGAGGTTAAGGTATTTTGCGATCTCATAATTATAATTCTATAATTAATTAACTAAAATAATCAATAATATTAAATGATTTATTCATTTCTTTTTTAAGGAATTTTAGAGAAATATTTAAATACCTTAAATTTATAAAGATTCTTACTGATAAGCTAAATGATTAATTAATGATGAATCCTATAATTATCTAATTATAATCATTTATTCATTTTAGGGGAAACTTTTCGATAAAATTTTAGGAACAATCTTTTATGTACCAATCTTAATATAATTGTAAAGCTTTTATGAGTTTATGCAATGTAAAAAAATTTGCTTATTTTTTTTTTAGAATTTAACATTAGTTAATCTTACATAATTGAAATTAATTAATATAAAAATAATACTTAAAAAAAATAGTAGTTTGAGTTTTAAATTCAATTTATTTATCAAATATTTTAAAGTATTTATATCCTTTTTGAAGAATGTATCTTTAATTATTTATGTTAAAGTTTTTATTGTAAGATCATTTTTAATAGGGCATAAAATATAATAAAATATGAAAGTATTTAAATAGATTATATCTTTATTAATTTATTTTTTTAAAATGTTTCTGTTCTGCCAATATTAAAAAGGTATAATATTTTATTTTGTTTTTTTAAAAAGCGGTTTATAATAATTAAAATATGTTGTGCTATATTTTATCTTGAAATAACTAATGTTGAAAACAAAAGATATTCATGAATAGGAAAAAGAGATAAAATAAGATAAGTAAAAATTGATTGGGTAATAAATTATTTGTAAGTCTGTGATATGATTTTAAGGTAGATATTACTTTATAATTGTATAAGTTTGAATTGTTATTGTATTTGATATTTTATATAAGATAAATATTATTTTATATTCAGTTATGCAAAAAGGTGAAGCTCTATTAATTTTGAAGAAATATACATCTGAGGAGGATTGTCTATTTTGTTAGAAATATGGAAGAGTAACAACAGATAAAATAAATTTTGCTCCTCTTTTGAATCGAGTAAGAAATAATAAAATTGGCAAATAGGCTTTGTACACTAAATATTCTTAATCTTAATGGAATGGTAAAAAATTTGAAGATCTATTTTGTACAAAATCAGTATCATGGGTGATTTAATTCAAAGACAAATTAACATTTGAAGATTATGATGAATTTCTAAAAAGGTATGAAAAAGAGAAGAATTTATATAAAATAGGTTTTATCCAAAGAGTGATTAACCATAGAAGTTTGATTAATTGTTAGAATATTATAAGTATCACAAAGATATTCCTAGAATGTTTATGCCAAGAGTTTCTGATTTGGCAATCTATTTTTATGAAAAAAAAAAGTATATTTTTAATGAATTTAAACATTAGATAAATTGAATATAGAAAGATAAAATTTATGTTGGGCATTCCTGTTGAAGATGCTAGTAATTATACATGTAATAATAAAGAAATAATTAGAATGTGAGAAGTTAAAAGAAGATTTTAGAGTATTGAATAGCATAACATAGCAAACATAAGTATCAAGTCTTTCTGTATTAAGAGAAATCTTAAAATCTAAAGCTAGTGATGAAATAATAGTAAAATATAAAACAATAATATAGAATATTGATGCAACTTGGATTACAATGACCTAATAATAACAATCAAAATCTTAACATCCCCCTAACTTAAAATTACTTAAATAACTTATATCCAAAAATCCTCAATTCAACAAAGAAAAATAAAATATTTATGTTACAGGAATTAGTAAAGGTGCAATTTAAAATTCTCCATAACACAAAGGACATCTAAAAACATTGAGTAAAGATACTTCCCAAAAATCATTAGTTTCATCCAATAAAATAATTAATAATAGTAATGGAGATACAGATTTATAGAAATTTTTAAAATAACAAATTCTAACAACAAATCATGCTAATCCATGTATATCTAGTTCTAAACAATCAAGTAAAGCTAATCATATATCAAATTATCAATCTAAATAAAATAGCATTCACTATATTACTAGTACTAGAAGTATATCTTCAGAATAACTAAAATTAATTCAATAATAATAACCTTTAAAATAAAGTAATAGTCCTAATCTAATTATTCCAACACATAAAAAAAGTTAAACACAAACACATTATACAGAGATTAATTCTCCTAATAAACATTAAAAATAACTCTCTGTCAAAATGCATACAAATGTAGGATAAGATCTAAAATAATAATTAACTCACACTAAATCCTCAGAAAAACTCTTCAAAATTTATACATCATAATCATCTGTTCCTTTATCAGCAAATATCAATATTAATATAAATCAACTTAATATGAATAATTTAAATATTAAGACTCCCTTTTAATAATATAAAGCTATGCTTGAAAGTCCTAAAATCAATACAAAATAAAAAACATAGTCAAACATTGAAACTTAAAGAATTACTAGTGCTTAAAAGAGTAATAGTTCTTAGAAAAAAACCTAAATCTCCGTTTAATAGTTATATGTCTAAAAAATCAAAACTAAAAATAAAATTATGAAAAAATGATTTACTCTGTTAAATTTATTAATAATTAAATATTATCTATCCTATTACTTTTATTATATTATTACAAATTGCTATTTAATAATTTTTATATTTATTTTTCTGTTAAATGAACAGATCATCTCATAAACGATAAAGAACACCGAACACACCAAAAAAAATAAAGGAATAAGATTGTAATCCTATTCCAAGTTAACAAGTTGCTAAATAAATTAGAAATGATGAAGCTGTTTAGTAACTGAGTGCCATTGACTATCCCAAACATTAATTTAGAAGACAGGATTCTCAAAATTTTCATCTAAAATCATCATAAAATTTAGAGAAATCTTATAATTTAAGTAAGAGTCTTATCTAAAATAAGCTGATAGAATTTATTCTCCTCCAAGAAAATAAGATTAATCTCCTAATTTGAGAAAAAAAGAAAATGTCAAAATTATTGATTCTTATGAGGTTAGATATGGAAAACTGAACACAGAAAATGTTCAGCTTTAAAATCAAATATAAGCTGATCAATAAAGATACAATAAACTTATAAACGATTTAGAGATGTAGCTTTAACATTAAACTTATAAATTGCAAACCGAATAACATAATACGAAATAATAATAATTGTTATTATAAAAAAAGAATGAAGAAATATAATTATTAGTCAATGAATTAAAAAAAAATGAAACTAAAATTATCTAGCTTTCTTAAATTGTATTTATTATGATTAATTAACAAGAATGCTTAGCACTCTGATGAAAATTAAAATTTGAAAAATTATATCTAGAGTTTAGAATATGATGTAAAAACTTTGAAATAATAAATTCAAGATTCCCAATTAAAAAGTGCGAGGTAGGTAGAAGAAACTAAAATAAAAATTGAAAATGATTTTATGCTTTAAAATTAGCTACACTTAAAAGATATTTAATAGTAACATTAATAAATCATGAGCAATAAAAACGATTAACTTATATCGGAATAATAAAAATATTCAATTCTCTTGTCTTAATTCGATAATTTAGTAAATGAAAAAAATAAGATTTAATAAGTGATAGACAATCTTTAAGAAGATAAAAAAGCAATTTAATAATAACTTAATCAATAAAATTAAATAAATGAAGAGTTGAAGTAATAAGGTTTAAATTTGACAAAAGATTTATAATTAACTAATGATAAGCTAGCACAATAAGAAATTTTACATTAAAGATCGATGCAAGAACTTAAATAGTATTATGAACAATAATAAATTAATATTTTATAAAGAAAAATAAATGAAACTGAATTACAACATTTAAGCTAATATCAACAATAAGATTCAATAATAAGAGACCTATAATAACAATTGTAATAATCTGAGAATAATTATTAAATAATAAAAATTGAAAATGCAAAATTATATGCAATAGATTAAGAATAAGAAAAAGAGATCAAAATAATTTAATAAGAATTGGAAAGACTTGTTAAAATAAAAGATTTAGAAATTAAATCATTACAAGATGATCTTTAAAAATTAAAACAATAAGCCTTAGAATAATCATCAAAATACTAAACAAAATTACATGAGCTAAGTAAATAAGAAGTGATTGCTAATGATATCAAAAGTGAATTAGAATTACAAAAGAATGTTACAAAATAATTAGAAAGTAATATTAGAGAGCAGTGGGAGAATGATGTTTCAGAATTGAAAGTTTTTCATTAATAACAAATACAACATTTAGAGGAATAAATTAGATTGTTAAATTTTGAGAACGAAAAATAAATAATTTAAAGCCGAAAGAAAGATGAATAATTAAATGAATAGAAACTAAATTAATAGTTACTTGAAAATTCAATTCATAGCTTGAAACATTAGTTTAGCGATACAGAAAAACAAAAAGTAAAAGAATTAGAAGACTATTAAATGGAATTGGAGAATTTTAGAAAAGAATTAAAGGAATAAAATTTAAAGTTATAATAAGAAAAATTACTTATAGAATAATAATTAAAGTAATAAAAATAAAGAGTTAAAGAACTAGAAACTGTAAAAATTGAGATAGAATTTGTTTCCTCCTAATAAATATAAAATTAATAAGAATAAATAAAATAAAAAGATTGGCAAATAAGCTAATTAAATTAAGAAAAGAATAAATTGGATTCTTAATTGAAATTAATAAAAGAAAAATTGATTTAAGCTGAGTTTTAAATAGTAGAATTAAAATAAAGCGCAGAAATATATTTAAAGGAATTAGATGAATCTACTCAATAAAGAGATCTTGAAAGAAACTAATTTAATCAAAAATTTGGTTTTTAAGAAACAAGAATATCATAATATAAATAAGCAATAAATTAATATGAAATAGAAATTCATAATTAAAATAACATCATTGACAAGGCATAAAAACAAATGGATCATGCTTAGTTGGAATCTTAAAAGAAAGCTGAGGAAGCAAGAAAAAAAGAGTAAAAATTGTTAGATCAGATTGCTAACTTAAATTTTTAATTGTAATCTAATGAAGAATAATTTATGAAGTACTAAGAGGAACATAAGGAATCTAATAAAAAAATTGAGTAATTACTTTAGGAGAAGGATGATTTAATAAAGAGCTTGGAAAATTAAAAGGAAAAATTAGTTGAAGTTAAAAATGAACTGACAGAAGAAATTGAATAATTAAATTAAAAGATTTAAAATTATGCTGAAGGAGAAAATTAAAGATAAGATTGGGAATTTTAGGTAGAAAATGAGAAGGTATTTATTTATTATCCTATTTTAGGCTGTTTTGAATAACGAGATTGAAAGATTTTAATAAAGGCTTGATCAAAAAGATTCTAAATTAAATTAATTGTAGTAATAATATACAAATTTGGAAATCTAATTTTAAGATAAAGAGTTATTGTATAATACTTTAAGAAGCTAAATTGATTAGAATTATGTACATATTGAAGATTATGAATAATTGAAATCTAAAAATAGTAATTTATTAAATGAGCTTCATGAAATTGAGAGTAACTAATTGAAATCAAATAGTGAAAAGCAATCATTAAGAAGATAGGTGGAAAAGTTGAAAAGTGATCTTGAAATTAAAGAATAAGAATTAGAATAGGCATTTCAATAGATGAGCAAGAAAAAAGGAGAGATTGAAGATGTATCAAAATTGACAAAAGAAATATAAAGATTGACATTTGAATTATCAGATGCTCAAACTTTGCTATAAGCAAAAAGTGAATAATTAAATATAATGAGAAGAGAAAATGATGATTAATTAGAGCAATTAAATAGATTGAAGAGATAATTAAATTAGGCATCAGAAAAGGAGCTTATAAGAAAGATAGATAAATCAGAACATTTTTAGGAAAATTTTTGATTGCATATATTTATTTTAATATATATTTATATTAGAATGAATACTTAAAATAAATAGAATGAATACTTAAAATAAATAGAATGCAGTAAAAATTTATTTCATTTCCATACAGGTTTATTATTAATGAGGGATTGCATGAAAGTTTCATCGTTTTTCATTTAACCAGGGGATGGATATCTCCACCCTTTGTTTTTACTTGTTGGTATTAATTAGGTAGCTTTAGGTATATTGTTCCCTAAAATATAAACTAAAAATAAAACTACCTTTCACAATAGGCGAAAATTGACGATAAGGAAAGGATGATGGTTTTGGAATAGTTATTGGAGGTTGAATTTCAGACTACCTAAAATAGAGAAACTTTTTACGCATAAGCAGATTTAGGTCTATCAATAGGATCTCTTTTTTATTATTTTAAGGATTAAGATTTTCCTTATTATTTTAATTTTTGTTCCTAATGTTTTTTTAGACTATCATTCTATTATCTTTTGATTGTACCAATAATTGGTTTAACAAGTTAATGATTTTCTCTTGAAATTGAATTACATTTTTCTAGTTCCTCTTTTAAAGTTACATAGTTGTTAACTGTAACATGATAGATGTTTCCACTGATATTATTTTGACTATTTAATTTAACAGCTTGCTTAGTATTAGTATTAGTATTAGTTTATTTTATTTTTTTTTATGATTTTTTAGTTAAAATTTCATCTGCCCAACTAATTGTTCTTACTCTGTTTTCATTTAAATATTAATTGAATAATCTTTTATCCAACCAACAAGAATCAGCTGGACTTGATTTTGCATTTATGTATGTGTTCCTAAGAAGTTTTTCATCTTCCTCTAATGGTAGATCCTATTCTTCATGAGGTAACCATGAACTTGATAATCCTCCTTCTCCCTTCTTATTTAACTTCGATTCCAATTAAGTTAACTAATGATAGAAACTTGCTCTTATTTCAAGATCTGGTCTTCTAGAGTTGAGAAATTCTAAAGTCTTATATAATTTCCACTTATATTTTCTCATAAAATAAGCAGCAAGTGCGCAACAGGAACGAGATTATCCTCTTACAGAATGAATCAGGACTGATTCTCCATTCTTATGTGCTTACTCTATAAATTAATATATTTCATTAACAGTATCATTTGGAAATAGTATTTGCTTGTTCATGATATTTAAAATGTACTTAATCATTCTCAAGCCAATTAAATTTCAAATAAGAAACCCCATAGTTTTCAAAAACGCATAATAGTTACTTAGCTGCACAATTAACAATTCTAGTCACTTTATTTTAAATGATGAATTCAAGATCCTTATTAGATTTAACTTAATTATACTTTTGAGGCTAATTCATCTCCAATGAATAGACCATCCTTTACTTTAATTGCTCCAATTATCATTATTTTTTATTTAGTAATAAAATTTTGAAATTTGAAAAATGGAATTAATGCCTAAATTGTAAGAAATTCAAAAAGAATTGCAATTTTACACTAGATTGTTCTAAGAAAACAAACTTTATCATTCTAGTAAGTGGACAGGAGAGTTATTATTAGGATTGACTCAAGAAGAAGATTTATAATAATCTTAATTTGCAATGTAATTTATCCAAAACAATACTGATTACAATTATCATTTCATACGAGAGTTTGTTCCTGAATATAATGATATCATTTTAGTTGCTAGAAATTTATTTGATTTAAGAGAATTCAAGAAATGTGCATCTTTATTATAAAATCTCATCCATAAAAATGAATCGGCAATGTTTCTCTATTATTACTCTTAGTATATGTATGGAGAATTAAGAAAGGAAGAAGAAATGTTTGAAAATGAAAATTCAAAAACTGCAACTAATCCAGAACTTAAATTATTAGAAAGGGAATTATCAAAATTGTACAATCAAAAGCAATTAAACTAATTAAATCTCTATATATATGGACTAATACTAAAGGATACAATGAAATTAAGAGAAGCAAGAGAGGTTTTCATTTAAGTTTTACATTAAATGCCTTGTTTTTGGAGTGTTTGGTTAGAATTATGCAAATTGTTAACAGAGGAAGATACTTTAGATGAATTACCAAATCATTGGATGAAAACATTTTGGAGTTCAAATTTTAATTTGGAAAAGTTTAAAAATGCCAACTGCGTAGAATAATTTTAGACTTTGTTATATTACTTTAGAAATTCGAATTTTATAATAAATTAGATTGCAAATGCTTATTACAACAATTAAGAATTTGAATTATCCCTTGAATGGTTTGAAAGATTGTTAAGTATTGATCCATACAGATATGAGAGTTTAGATACATATTCAAATATTTTATATATAAAAGAAAATTAAGGGGAACTTGCCAATTTAGCATTATAATCATTTACAAATAATAAGTATGTACCTGAAACTTGTTGTGTTGTAGGAAACTACTATTCTCTAATGAATGAGCATGCAAAAGCAATAAATTATTTTTAAAGAGCTCTAAAATTAGATAAAGATTGTTTGGCAGCTTGGACTTTAATGGGACATGAGTATTTAGAAATGAAGAATGTAGCATCTGCAATACAATCATATAGGAATGCAGTGGAAATAGATCCAAAAGATTTTCGTGCTTGGTATGGATTAGGATAAACATATGCATTACAAGGAATGAATTAATATGCATTATATTACTTTAGCAGGGCAGTTATAAGCAGACCAAAAGATGCAAGAATGTGGAATGCTATGGCAGAATGTTATGATAAAATGGATAAAAAAAATGAATCAATGAAATGTTATGAAAGAGCTAATTAATGTAAAGATAAAGAAGGGATTGCAATTCATTAATTGGCTAAATTATATGATGCTATGGTAAGATTTAAAGTTTTTAATATATTAGGGTAAAACCGAAAAGGCTTTGTCAGCTTTTGAGGAGAGCTTAAGAAGGAAAGATGAAGAATAAATAGTCGATAAAGAGTTATCAGAATCTTTACTTTATTTAGCAAGGGTATTTTTGAAAAGAGGAGATAAAGAAAGAGCTATGTAAATGGCTAAAAGACTTTATGATTTTAATGGCCCAGAAAGGGACGAAGCCAATTTAATCATGAGTTAGTTAAATAAATGAAATAAATATTATTATTTGATGATTTTGATTTATCATAATTCATTATTATTAGCTCTTAAAACTCAAATTTTAGTTTCGATAACCTTTTATTGCCTAAGTCTAAAAGAAGCTTTAAGTGAAATTTCTAACGAATAACAGTTTTTATCAATAGAAGATTATTTCTTAAACTAAAATCTCATTGATGAAATTAATAGGCATCTAATAAACCTTTCGTCCTATTACTTTTTTGTTTGGGCCTTTTTTGGTGGTTTGTTGGGTGATGTTGGAATGGGATTATATTTAAAGTTTGGGATACCTAACTATATGGATAATATAGTTGAAATGATGAATTAAGCTAATAATTAGATACAAATAATATGCTTAATAAAAATTATAAATTGATGGGAAATTTTTACCTACTCATAAACCATCCGAATTGAATGATGATTAATTTTTCACTTACCTTTGGTTTTGTCTTAGCAATGAAATAAGATTAATAAGTAATGCATCTTATTCAAAATAATTGGAAAAGCTAAAATAAAAAATGCAAGGAGGAGGAATAAGCAAATTTATTATAAAGATAATTTTAAATTGAAATTTTATTGAAAATTTGGAATGATACTTTAGATTATCTTAAATTTCATAATATTAATTTGGTTGTTAATGATAAGTCTTGTGCTGAATATGTTGACGGTATGCTTACTAATTATAAAGTAGAATGATGAATATTTATTTAATATTAAATCGAATTCTTATTTTATGAGTTTAAATCTTATTAACAAGTATTTCTTTAATTTTTGTAATAGCTTTGAATTTTTATTGAAATTATAAAATTAATTATAATTTAAATAACATAATTTCTCAAAATTATAATTTAAACTTATTGTTATTGAAAAGATATCATATAATGAAAATTAATTAATAGAAAGACACTAAACTTTACAAATATCAAAATTGTTGAAAAACTTAGAATAAATTTAAATTGACAGACAATTTCAATGGAAATAACTGTCTTTTTTTAAATCAAATATGTGATAAAATTAAAAAGAAAGATAATATAAAATTATAATGCTTGCAAACATTCATTTATTGTTGATAACAATATCATACTTAATTACATTTACTCCCTAAAAGAAAGTTGACAATTAATTTGTAAATAAAATTTTATAATTACGTCATTGAAAATGAAATAAAGGTTATCAATAGAAATAGTAATAAGATTGGATTGTTTGGTTTATATAATAAGATTTAGGGCTTATTATAGAAATTGCTATGGTACGATTTTTTAATTAAATTTAATGTATAATAATTCTAGAGATCCTCCAAGTTAAATTCTTCTATTAATTTTCACTTAATTGCCTCCTTCTTTTCCTTTAACGAATGAATATTTGCATAAGAAGTTTAATGAATTTGGAGACATAAAGAAAATACTTATATTCGAAAGAGGAAAGACAAATAAGGCTTTTGTGGAATTTCATAATTTGAAGAGTGCAATATCAGCTAGAAAATAGTTGAATGGTTTGAACATTTAAGGAGGAAAGTAATAAATAAGTTTATATGTAGAATGATAATCCATTTCTCTCGACTTAAAAATCTTAATCTCGAAATCGTAGATAATTCTAGAGGAACAGATTATACATAGGCTAGCAGTAATAGTCAAAATTCAGATTCTATTCTTCATTCTAAAACAGATGATAACATCAGAGTCAACTTAACTAATCATATTAGTTCAAGTTCATCTTCACGAGCAAACTCAAGTCCAGTCAGAAATGAAGAGATCAATAGGTTGCTTGATTATGATGATGATGATTTTGATATTTGGAGATAAGAAATTCAACTTAATTTGACTGACATGCATCCAGAAATATAGACCCTACTAAGATAGAAACATTCTAAATTACTTAGAATTTCATCAATAGACTCTAAGGTAACTGCTAAGATGATTTATAATGTATTTTCTAAGTTTGGAAATATTGAGGAGATTCTATACTAGAAATAGTATTAAAAGGCATTTGTTAAATTCTAGAGCATAAATTAAGCAATCATAGCAAAAGAATATCTCAATAACACTCAATTCTTTGATTCAATAGTATACTATTGATTATATTCATATTAGTTACGCTTCTATTTTGAACCCATATAACCTTTATAACCAACCTCTTTGTAAGATGAATATATGATTTATTATAATGAAAACTGTACATAGAAAATAATGCCACTCTCATCTAATCTCATAATTACAGGAGTCTAAGATCTTTAGGAAATCTCGGAATTAATTAAAATGTTTGCTAAAATCAAAGGTAAATTAAATATAGAATAAATTAATAGACATCAAATTTAATGGTAATAGTCTACAGCTAGTTATGTGTTCAATTGCAGATACGCTTAAAATTATAGCAGTTTTTTCAGATTATGAATTTAAGAATTAGAAGTTATCCATCATTCTCAAATGATGATTAATTATTATATTATCAATATATTATATATTATTAATATATTATATATGATTTATATTTTATATATTATTTGTATAAAAAAAAACGGAAAATCTATGAATAAGTTTCAAAATTTCATTTCTATGCAATTTTTTATTTTTCTCTCTACTATGAAATTATTTGATTTAATAAATTTTATTCTTTAATTGCCTCTAATCCAGAAAGCTATTAAACTCTCTTCAACATAGAGATGTTCAATTTATTATGAGTAATCTTCTCTTTAAAGGGAGGCATATCATGATAATAATCTTTGGATTTATTTTATCTTGGTAATTCAAGTGAGCAATTCTATTATTGAAATTGTTACTTTTCTTATTTTAAATTCTTTTATTTGAATAAATTTGAATTAAGTTATCTTAAGGATATGAAATTTTCATAATTATTTTATTCTGGATTATTCATAGTTTTAAGTTTGATGAATTTACTCTAAATTTCCAAATTATTTAAATTCTCGATGGAATTTTATTCTAAATATCTATAATTTTTAATAATTTTTTAGTGTTCAGAAACAGATCTTTTTTATCTCTCATTTAAATAAGTTTATACATCTTGATTTCCATTATATTTAATAATTTTGTTCTTTTTCAAAGCTAATGGATACTTCTTCTCTTAATATTCTTATAAATAAAAATCATCCTCTTCCTATTCTTCCATTAAATCCTTAAGAAAATCAGTTGCTAATGGTAATTGATTTAAACTTTCCCATGTAATTGCAGATTATATTTGTTGGGATGCATTAAAACTTGATTCCTGATCTTTTTAATTAAATTAAAAAGTTTTTTGTTAAGTTGGATCAGGTAATTTTTCAATAAGTTCAGCAAATTTAGGATATTTTTCAAGGAGTTAAGATTTGGTATAATGTTTTAATTCAAATTACAATTTATAGAGTATTTTTTTGTTTCTTTCTATAAGTTTGATTTATTCATTTTATTGTTTTCTTTATAATAAAATTTATTTGATTTATTCATCATTTTTGACTTCTGGATGAAATATTTTAAATTGATATTTGATATCTTTAATTCGTTCAGTTTAATCTGTCATTTAAAATGGTCTTTACAATGTTTTCATTTTAGATTAACAAATTTTCCAGTTATCCAATCCTAAATTGATTTAATATTATGCAGAATCAATAGAATCTTCTGTTGCAAGTCTGTTTAATAATTATACAAACTAATCAAAATTAAGTTCTTTAGAATTTTTAGCTTATTTTTTGAATAATTCTAATAATTTTGAAGGATTAGTTTTAATCAAAAAGTCTCTACAGAAATGCATCCATATACCAATGGTAAAAATAGATGCTTCATATTATTATCTTTCAAAGGTAGTATATTATCCTTTAAGATATTACTATTTAGAATAGAAATCAAAAACTCTTTATAAAACTTCCTTGTTTTGCATTATCATAATTTTTATATATTAAATTATTAAAATATTTCAATATCATCATCCTCTGATATCCATCTAATCCTTTTTCCCATAATCCATTCTCCTTTTTTAGTAACACCATCTTTAGTAAATAATCCATAACCATGTTATTTTCCTTAATGCCATTATCCATAATATATTCTACCATCTGGCCATACAAATTTACCTATTCCTTCTTTTAATTCATCTAAATAAGATCCTTCATATAAACGTCCATCTGGCCATTTCATAATTCCTTAAATAAATTAATTTTTCTCCCATTATCCTTTAAATTCACTTCCATCAGCCCATTTAAATATTCCCTATCCATGAAGATCTCCTTCACTAAAATCTCCTCTATAATAAGATTAATCACCAAATTCAATAAAACCTTTTCCGTGTCTCTTACCATCCTTATAATTACCTTTATAAACAGCATCATCAGCAAATCTTTCAGAACCACAACCATTTTATAAATTATGCTCCCATTTACCTTCATATATAGATGTGTTTGTTTTTAACTAACCCTAACCATGACATTCTCCTTACTAAAAACTACCTATATATAGATAGTTTTCTGCTGATAATTTCCCTTATCCATGAAATAGATTATTCTCAAAGAAACCTTCATATCTTCTTCCATCATCCATTACTAATATTCCCCAACCATGCATTCTATTCTCTTCCATCTGTCCATGATATCGACCACCTTCTACTATTCTCCAATCTCTTTATGTTTATTCATCATCTTCTTCTGTCATATACAAATGATGTAAGTTTAAATAAGTCTCATGTAATATTAATTCCCTCTAGCTAACAGATTAAGATGTACAACAACCCATTCAGTTAATTAAATTATTTAAAATGGAACATAATTCAGATAACTAATTCTATGCTCCAGATCATAAATAAAAAGATAAATATCCACTAACCAATCAAATCTCTTAAGATTTTCTAGATGATACTCACATCTATCGTATCATAAGATTATGTAAAGAATCTGTCAAAATTATGCAGGATTTCAAATGGGAGAGTAATATTTTTCTTTTTTTATATTCTAGATAGACTTCTTAAAGAAAAAGAATGGAGATAACTTAAAGTATATTAAAGTAGAGGATGGTTACATTATGCAATCTTTGAAAAAGAACCATACGTTTTGTTATTCAAACGAAAAATCCCTAAAAATAAAAGATCATGAATTATATTGATTTCAATTTTGTATCATTATGTTTTTCTAATTATTTAATTTCTTTTTTTATCATTCTACTTCATTCTATAATCTCATTATTTATTATATTCTAAATTATGTCTAATATTTTAATACTTTGTCCAAAATGTTAAACAAATCCAGCAACACTTTAATGTGTTGATTGCCAAGAATAAATGTGTTATTCCTGTGATCAAAAAGTACATTTATAATTGAAATAACATTAAACTAATATCATTCCTTATTCATGTAATATATTTATTAAAAAAGAGATGAAACAGATTAAATCAACCTCATCTATCATTAGTGGTATTAAAGACCACTCCAATTTATCATAAGAATTGCTACAAGAACTAAACGAATTAGATGTCATTATATAAACCAAAAAATCATTTCTTATCAAATAAGAAGAAAAATGGAATACATAAATAACTTCTCTTGAAAACTAATATGAATAAAAATTACAATAATTTGAAAAAGAAATTGAATCTAATGAAAATTAGTTTAAAAATTATTATTCAAGTGGGAATACTACTTCAATGATTGCTGATATTAAAAAATAAATGGAAGCATAAAAACAGTATATTTACTATTCATCAATAGATTAGCATGGAAAGAATTAAATGATAAAAAAGCTAAACTATAAGAAAAAGAAATATTACTTAAAGACATGATTTCAGTTGAATCATATTGTTCTAAAGAAATTGCATAAAAAGAAAAACTAATCAATGATTATAAAGACTTTTTATAAAAATAATAAGCTGAAAAAGATCTAATTAAAGAAGAAAATTAAAAAATTATGAATCAATTAGAATCAATTAAAAATTTATGTAAAAAGAATTTACCTGAATTTGGAATTAATGTTGATTTTTTGGATAAATTAATGAAAGTTAATAAAATCAAGAATAATGAATAAGTTGAAGAATAAGATGAAGAATATGAAGAGGAAGAGGAAGTAGAGAAAGAAGAGGAAGTAGAAGAAGAAGAATAAGAAGAAGAATAAGAAAAAGAATAAGAATAAAATGAAAATGAAAATGAAAAGTAATAAAAAAAAGATGAAGAAAATTAGAATGTAGAATAAAAATGATTCTAAATAAATGATTGAAATTAAAAATATAAATAATTTAGTTAATTATTATAATAATATAACAATCATTTATAGCCAACAAATAAATTAAATGCTACCACAATTAAACCTATTGAATAGTTTCTCAAGAGCACTGAAATACTGTAATAATCTTAATTTGATTAAGTAATGAATTAATTGATTAAATTGATAATCAACCCATAGAGAATACCTTCAATTTATTATAAAACTTATTTAATAGGTCTGACCATAATAAAAACATGTTTACTAAAAAGTAATCCAATATAGACATCTTAAACAGATTAAAAATATCCATAATAATAAGCAACAAGTAATTCAATAATTAAAATGGAATGTAATTTATATAATTTTCTAATGGTATGTCTATCTATGATTCTTCCTTATTTAGTATAGGGTCCTTTATGCATGACATAAGTTTAAACATGTTAATTACATTATTTTTAAACTTAATGGGAAAAATGATTTATAGTAAGATAAAATAGTATAAAAGTTGGTATTGGCATAATGAAAATGTCATCTGACAAAATTGCTGATGATATAGCAAATATCATAATAGTTTATGATGTACAAGCTAAAGCATAAGAATAAGATAATATATAAAAATAAACTGCCCTTCCTTAACTTATACATTCGTACATTGAAGAAATGTAACTATAATCAGTTTACTCAAGATGAGTGAATAGTTTAATACATGATCTAGACTCATGAGGTCCAATACTAACATGAGCCATCTCCATTGCTTTCCCATCATTTTCTTCTCCTTTCATAAATATTATTTTATCATAAAGTTTAAGTAAATTTATTAATTACTCTTTTCTTTCAGCATTACCACCTATAATAATATTTTTATTTTTTATTTCTTCATAAAGTTTTTATTAATCAATAATTCCTTAAAACTAAAATTTCTATTATTATTATTCCAACCATTCTAAAGCCTTACTTGATTAAATCTTCTCTAATTTTAAATGATCTAGAGTTGGACAAGCTAATCTTCTACTCAAAAATACAAATTTGTTTTTCTACTCAAAACTACTACTTAATAAACTACCTTCTATATATCTATCATTCATTTCATCTTCTTTTATAAGATCTGCTTAAATTGCTAAACGTTATGCATCCTCCAATTATAATCTTGTAAAATATCTAATATTTATTTATGATTTATTAAACATAGTTACTTTATTGTCTATTTTATCTATAATCATTTCATTAACCTACCCTAACCAATATAAAGATAAATAATCCTATATATAAATACTTCTTTATCTACATTTCTTTATAACATAAATCATAAACAAATTTATCAATTGAAGTAATTGTGTTGGAATCGTTATAATTGATAATTAAGATAAATACAATAATATTTAAGTTATATTGATTAATTACTTATTCCTAATCAGTAATATTATCATTAAAATAAGTAAACTTATTATGCATTATACTCCAATTTTATTCATGAGTGATTCAATCTTAAAAGCAAAAGGATTATACATTGAATTCTATTTCAAATATGTTGTTCTCTATTTCTCTGTTTTTGTATCTTCTAAAAATGACTATTTGTATTAAATATAATCAGATGATTATTATCCTACACTGCAAACCAATAATTAACCTGATCCTTTTATAATCTAAGAACCAGCAAAAACAAAATTATCTATCAAACTTAAATTAGTCTAAATTTATTCATCCATGTTATTTTATTCCTTAATTTCATCTATATTTTTCACCTCATAAGTGTTAAAAAGATTTGGAAATGGTTATAACACTTCTATTCCATTACAATTTGATAATTTTGTTATTATACCATCACATTAGATGAAATCTCCTTATTTGAAAATCAATATATCACCAACAACTAATTAACTATTATGAATTTATATTGAATCATCTCCATTTCTTAATACATTACATCTCTTTATCAAATGTTTGCTCCTCTCCTTTATATCATTTTAATGCTACACTATCTCCTTATTATATGACTATTTTATCACACCCTTATAAACTACCATTATTATTAACATTACTATGTACATCAAGTAAATTTACACATTCTCATGAAAATATATTATTATATTGATTATTGTTATTATCAATAATATTTAAAATAGTCTTTCCTTTTGAAATTATTCTATTATTATTTGTAGTACACTTTTTATAGCTATTTATGGCTTCTCATTTTTACCAAAATATTTTTCTCTCATCTTTAAATCATAATCATTTGTATCATCCAAACCTTATTTTATACAAGTCTTTAAAAAGTTCTATAACCCATAAATACCTCCTAATTCATTTAATTTTTCAATCTAAATTTTTAATCTCTTTTCTTTTAAATCCTTTTCTTGATCATTCTTAACTAAATTATTTTAAGCTTCTTTTAATATTTAATTTAGATCAAAGATTTCTAATAATTTATTATATTAAAATCCAAAATAATGATCATCATTTTGCTATTATTTATTTTCTTCTTTTTTCCACCCTTTTAAAAGTGTCTTCCATTAATTTTTTGCTTCCAAAATCTATTGTAACTTATTCGATTCAATTTCTAAAATTTCATCTTTTTTTTAATGCTTCTCAAAATCATCTTAGTGTAAGCTCCTAAAAACCTGCATTTCTATCATTTAAGCCCTTTATTCTGATTCTCGATGAATTTTTAATAAAGGACTGTGAATTTAATCTCTCTCATTTTACATACTTACTTAATTTAATATAATATAACAATGTTTTTTATTTTATTTAATATACTTAATAGCATATATTCATAACTAATAATCTTATAGTCTTTATTGATTTCCAATCTGTTTCATATTTCATACCAATATTTCTTGTAACCTTAAAAAAATGATTATTTCTTATTGTACAATTTACAACATCAATAATGTTTTAAAGTTATTTTATAGACAATAGAATAATTGATAGTTAATATATTTATAATGAATTTAAAGTATGTGTCTGAAGTAATGAAATTCTTATTACAAGTTAATTAAATTTTATTTAAAACAAAAAATAAATGAATTATTTTAGTATGCTTATGTATATAAATAAGAAAATAAAAATATAAAATATAAGTTTAAAATACTTTGGAAAAGAAAAGTAATAGAAGCTTTTTTATTGAAATTGGGAAAATTGTTATATTTTAGTTTTTCAGAATAAATAGTAAATGAATCAAGAAACTAGTTAGCTTTTGGAGTAATTTAAATAAATAATTGATTTAATAAAGTCTTTTGAATCTAATGTATTGTATTCAGTTGTTTATATTAAATTTGGATGGAGTATAAAACTGAATTAATTAGAAAGGATATAATTTATTTAGATTTTGAATTGTATGGAAATAAATCAAAGATTTGCTGATTAAGCATTAAAATGTATTTCAATAAAATTATTATAAGAGCACTAAAATAATCCAATAAAATGCAAACATTGAATTATAATTTAAAATTAAAGTAAATTATACACGTTCTATTTTGCATTATAAATAGTACAAAACCATTAAAACTAAATATAATTATCTGTGCATTTATGGTTTACATTTGATTTTAGTTTTAAATTTATTTCATTTCTGAGTGAAATTTGATTAAATATTTTAAAGTTAAAAAGATGAATTCATCTGTTGCTCATATTATGGACACAGCAATGATTTACTTATATCAAATATTAGTCACTTAATCATCGATACAATTGTCTGATAAATACGAGTAATCAGAACACAAACATACTTCAATTATAGTTTTCCAAAGATATATATCAGAAATCAAAGCTATTTTCATTTATGCTTACGATAACAATTCTTTTATTATTATTTAGTAATAACACATTGATGTAGATTAATTAACATCAAACCTAAATCATTACTATGAAGCTATTGAAAACTTTCTTACAAGCATTCTTGATTAAAATAAAGAAGTGTGCTTGCATTTTATTAATTATGGTCCAGATTTTATAGAAGAAAAAGTGGAAACAATTCAGCATGCACTTAAATTGCTTGAATTACCTTCTCCTAAAAGTAAGATAATAATTTGGATGAACAATCAGTATCTAGTTTAACCAAAGAAGGGTTATTTAATGATTTAATATTCTCTTAACTAAAGTGTGCTACTTAAATTTCAGTAGGATATAATTCAAAATCAAGAGGTTTATGAAAAGTTCACTTAAAAATAGATTAAATAAGTATAAGAGATCCACTAAGAATTTATTAAATAATTAGAATTGAACGAGTAATATGTACAAATGTATAACATATATTCTTTAATAAAAGATGTTACATTTATACATGATATACCAAATTCTATCTATTATTTAGCTAAATTTCTTGTGAATTTACCTAAATATACCTCTTAAGAGACTCTTGAAATGATATCAAAGCTTAAATTATATAAACAAAATCATGTATACATATAACTCTAAAAATAAACAAATTAAAAAAAAA